CAGATAATTTCAAGGTAAAAGGTTATTTATTAAAACTACGTTGTGCAGTTTAAGTTATAACTACTTTATGAGAAGCATATTGGTGTCATATCAATATAAATTAATTTATCGAACAACAGTCCGTGAAAACTGTCTGTAGACTGTAGTGTACTCAGTGTGAAATATGATATTGTATTTGTATAAAATGCCTCTTAATGGCGCAATAAGGATAAAAATACCACCGTTCGATTCAGCGTAAGAAATTGTACTTACGGATGTCAAATGTATTACTAAACATCAGTATTCTAGCGATTTATGGCCTTTGAAAATCAAGCGAAATTGTATTGTTGACATCAAATCACTCGCAGGACGTTTGCCCTTGTATGTATTGCCTAATTAATGGCGCAATAAAAATACCACCGTTCGATTCAGCGTAAGAAATTGTACTTACGGATGAGAAATTGTACCTACGGATGTCAAATGTATTACTAAACAACTGACAACAGTATTATAGCCAGGGACGCCGGAACGATGTGAAGGCAAGGGGGGCAGATTTTCGTGAAAGGGCACTTTTGAATTGATATATACTAAGAGATGTTTGCAAAACATCGGGAGTTGAACTTCGTCCAATCATGTTTTCTATTTATTGGATGATAGGGGTGTGAGGGGGTTCTCCACCAGGCGATTGTGCTATTCTTGAAGCTCGATGACGGCATTTCTTGCGTTTTCTGAAGCAAATTCGTAAAAGAATCGCACTAACATTTCTGACAATTCGCTATTTCGCTAAGGCAATCCTTTAAATTCAGGAAAGGGCACCTTTGCCCTCTTGGCCCTCCTGGTAAAGGGTAACGGGGACTGCTGCCCCTCCTGCCCCCCCCCCCAGTTCCGGCGTCCCTGATTATAGCTATTTATGGCCTTTGATTTTATCTTTGAAAGCCAAGCGAAATTGTATTATTTGTTGACAAATCGCTCAAATAATTTATAAAAGATGCAGTACGTTTAATCCTTGATAACTTTGGTATCATTGGTTTTCTCTTTTTCGGCCGTACACCAGTGGAGTCGTCTCACTTCTCTCTTCATTTTGATAATATTTTGAGCCGAAAAGCTCCAAAATATTTTATTTTGAACGTTTTAAACTGGCGGCCGACAGAAGAATGTAAGCTAATGTAGCGTACTATAAAATATAACTTTACTTGTGGGCCCGAGCTAAAGGGGAAACTTCCGGCGTTTATGGCCAGGCTTAATTTCCACACCAAGCTTAATATACGCACGTAAAACTTTAAATCTGTAAACTATCCAAATAAATAAAGCAACAGAATTTACTGCTCCGAAAGTTTTAGTATGAATTTGTTAACTTATTTGTAAAATATTTGAAAATAGAAGGATTCAAAGTTTTACGTGCGTGTAGCCGTGTATACGTGCGTACGAAAAACGCAACAGTGGAAATCAGCCTTAAAGGCGGTTTTCCACTAGGCGAAATTTTTCGACCGAATCGAAATTTCTCTTTGTTTCATGAGCTCTCGAGCAGAACTAAAGGCGGTTTTCCACTAGGCGAAATTTTTCGACCGAATCGAAATTTCTCTTTGTTTCAGAGCTCTCGAGCAGAACTAATTGTAAAAAGACAAAGAGAAATTTCGTTTCGGTCGAAAAATTCCGCCTCGTGGAATCAGGCCTTTAAAGGCCTGATTCCACGGGCGCTTTTTCTCGGCGAAATGCAAAATATTTCGCCTGTTTCTTTTGAATTGTGAGCAATCAAGTAGAATTAATTTATTCGAGTAGTCGCAATTCAAAAGAAACGGGCGAAATAATTCGCATTTCGCCGAGAAAAAGCGTTCGTGGAATCAGGCCTTTAGATCTTAACAGTAATGTGCGTCAGTTGTGTAGCCCCAGCGAGTTAACGCTCCACAGAGCGTCTTGTTATAATTTGAATGCCTGAGCACTATGCTGACCCCTCGGATGCGTAAAATATTGACAGGGTGCATATATTAATATATATATATATATATATATATATATATATATATATATATATATATATATATATATATATATATATATATATATATATATATATATATTAATATTAATATATATTAATATTAATATATTAGGCCAATTATTGATTATCAAACGAGCGGTTCTCCTGTGGGTTTTAACGAACTTTTCTCAAATTTTCACAGAACATAGAGCTCAAGACGTCAGTTTCAAGATTTTGGATATTTTAATAATAATTAAGGAGCAATTCACTCAAAGAGAGCAATTCATGATCACTCAGAAATATATTGCAGTCGTCAAAGAAATCGCCATATCAGCGGAATGACGAAATAAACGGAAATTTTAGAACACAAGTTTTAGAACAACTATTTTACTGTATAAAAATGATATTTTATAAATATCTTAAAACCAGCAGAAAAACAACTCAAAAGCGTATAAGCCATTTGCTTCGTCCCGATATCGTTAACTTTCATTAAGCATGTCTTTGACTTTCGAGTTCAAATCGGAATTGAAAACCTGCCGCACCATAGACCCGCATTTTTCTCGCAAAATGCTATTTTATTTTCGCTAGTTTTACAACAAATTTTTTCATTGTTCAACGACACGGATCGATGACGAGACACATACTATATCACTCAAAACGACCATGCAATTTCTATTAACCAGTCTTCCTTTAAACGAGAGACAGTTTTTCTCGAATCATTTTGAGTTATGAAATCTTGTGCGTGTTGGACGTAAACAACATATCTTGTCTACAACTTTGAGAAGGTAGGCTACAGATAACGCCTTCTAAAATCCTCATGCTATGTCACTGGCCTGAAAAATAGCCCTTTTAACGCGATCAAGGTATTTAAAACAAAAGTAATGAGTAGCCAACGTAACGACTAACGGCAAAGACAACGCTAAAATGGTCGATTGGTTGTTGGTAGAAGACTGACTTACGAAAGGATCAATGTTAAATAAACTTAAACTAGAAGAATAAATGTTCACATCATATTAGTGCCAAGGTATAAAATCTTCTCTGTATAAACTTACGACGAAGTGGAGAGATGTGTTCATAAGCTGTTTATTTGGTGATTTCAACGAATATGGCAGCCCTCTTTCCAATAATATTCGCCTAAAGCCCGGCGCACACTAGAGTTCTGTATGTGCTTAGCAAAATGTTATTCGTGACTGTTGGCGTATAAGGAGAAAGCTCTCGTGTGCAGTGCACTTTTGTAAGTTTTTCTTCACTCGTGGCGCGTAAAACAAATATCCTAGCCTCCTCCGCAGACAACTCTTTGGCAAAAATACGTATAAAATATTGACAGGGTGCATATATTAAATATTGACTTATTCTGAAGACATTAAAATATATTTGTAAACTGCGCAGGATTTTCTGCTCTTTGGAATTGAGAAAATGGTTCAACTCATCACAGAACAACAAGTTTTCATTGTTTTAAATTATACGCAAACTCAAAGTACTACCGCATTGCGAAACGCTTTTCAAGAAAAGTTTTCAGGTCGCAATCAACCCGTTCAGGCTGCAAGCATAATTGTACTAACTGAACCGGTTAGAAGTATTTATTAACTGCAGGAGTGACTATATAAACCTTAATAAGGGCAATTCTGGCAGAAGAAGACTAACCATTTGAACTGCAGCGGAAGATATTGACGATGTCAAGGATCTGCTCCAGCAAAATCCTCACGTGAGTGTACAAAAATGGCCTTAAAATTGGTCGCTTCACCGCGCGGGCAATGAAAAATTACCTTTAGGTCGTGATGTTGAATGGCCACCTCGCCATCTTGTGGAGTTATATCAAAGATAAAGTATTCTCAACTCCACCGGGCGACATCCTTTATCAGAGAGACAAAAATTATCAGAGAATTCAATGCCTTACGAGAGCTGCATGCATTCAGACGGCCAGTGCACAATAATGCACAGACGAACAAGGCTTTGTGTTGCAAGAGAAAGTGGGCACGTCGAAGGTGAAGGCGCTTGATTATTGTATCAAAAATTGTACATGTAAATAAATAAAAACTGCTGTGTTTAATGCACGTAATTTTTCTGCCTGAACCAACACAAGCACAATTGTGAATGAAACCAAATAGTTTTGGTTTTTTGGGACACCCTGTAGTACTCAGGTATTAAAATAAATTAATCGCTCATAGATAGGGTTACGCTCGAATGACCTCCGCTATATTTCAAGATTAAACAAGTAATTCTCTATCCTCTTTCATTAAGTTTTATATTAAAATAAAGCTTACGATTTTGTACATCTATTTGTGGTATTTTGGATTTGTATTTGTATCGTGTTATAAAGCTATTTTGGATTGTCTTATTTCATTTGTCGGTATATTATCATTGTGTCATTCGATACGAAGTTGGATTTTCTTTGGTACCGTTTGTTCTACTTGGTGTGTGTTTTACTACGTTGTCTATATACTGTGTTATTACTATTGTGCGTAAATTTGGTGTCATTTGGGTATACCGTTCCTGTTTTATTAAACTTTTATTATTTTGGCAGTTGGTATTTCAAATTTGAATTTTGATTAGCGTCGCGTTCCTAGGCAACAACTTTACGGTGTCGCATCTTGGTTTCTACCTTTTCTAAAGATATCATTCTACTTTGGATTTGCATCGCTCGTTATCCGCTACATTTTTTATAGAATTTTTGGCTATTTTGGAACTATATTTCACTAAACATCTGCAACTCTAACATTATAGTGTACGGCCTCTTGTCCGACGTAGACAATATTAGATCATATTACGGGTTTTTAGTCTTTGGGAATTCCCTAATTACGTAATTACGGCAATACGTTTATTGTATACTGCGACGAGTGTTTCTGACGAGTGCATACGAACACGCCATCACGCGTACTTGAATTAATTTAAGTGTATGTTAATAACTCGATTACATAGTCTGCCTTCATGAACAAACAATGGTAAATCCAGTGGCAATTTTTATCCTTTTACTGCTTATTTATCTGGCCCGATTTAGTATGTGATGAAACCACTGTACATATCGAAGTGCCTCATTTCTCAGATGCACCGTCGCTAAGTAGAACTGTAACGTCTGGTAGAAAACGCAAATGGATCGAAAGCAGGATCCTGTTTTATAACAACACCTCGGCATCTTTCAATCTGACCACCTCAGCCATACTGACATGCGGAGATGTACACCCCCACCCAGGTCGACCCACTGTCCAAAACGTCAATCCCACTAAAACGATTCAAAAATATAAAGCACCTAAATGTACAAAATGTGAAAAACAGGTTCGACGAAACCACAAACGACTGCAGTGTGACAAATGTTTCGATCTTATCCATATGCGCTGTGCTAGTGACAATCTTCGAATCTATAAGAACATTACGACTAACCAACCCGGTACATGGACATGTTCTCACTGTACCCTTTCAGAGCTCCCGTTCTTTTCTACGAAGGATTTAAGCAGTTTAGATTCATCACAGGAACATATAAAGGCTATAAACGTTACGTCTGACAGAGATCATCATTTGAACGCTATCGCATCGAGACAAACTCAACTCTCCTTTATGCATTTAAATACGCAAAGCATGACTTCAACATTTGACGATTTGCTGCTAGTTATACGAACATACGGCTTTGATATTGTAACGCTCAGTGAAACGTGGCTCAAAGACAATCCTCAACTACTAAATCACGTCTCCATTTCCGGGTATGGCAATGAATTTAGAAATCGAGAACAAATCAGAGGAGGTGGAGTTGGAGCGTATATCAAAGAAACTGTGAAATATAAACGGCGCAAGGACATCGAATCCAAATATCCAGATCTAGAACATTTATGGCTGGAAATCCAAGGACAGAACAAACATAGTCATCTATTATTGGGTACAATTTATAGATCTACTCGAATATTGGATACTCAGCAATGGCTAGAACAGATGGAGAACATGCTGTTGGAAATTACAACATCATGGGATGGCTTGCTGATCCTTACAGGCGACATTAACATTAACTTACTAAATTCTGACGCACCTTTGACGAAACAATATCTGGACTTACTATCAACGTTCGACCTAACACAGCATGTTAAGAAAGCTACGAGAATCACACAAACCAGTACAACTCTCATTGACCACATCATATCGAACAACTCCAAGCGTATTACACACACGGATGTACTACCGTGCTCAAGTGTCAGTGATCATGATGCACCTTACGCCTGCATAAACATTCGTATAGAACGTTTCCAACCGCGTTTTAAGTACATTCGAAGCGAACGTAATTTTAAGAAGAGTGAATACATTCAGGACTTTGAATCACTCCCATTTAACATCATCTATGCAATCGAAGATCCTGATGAGAAACTGGACATATTTAACAAACTCGTTGGCGACTGTATTAAGCGTCACGCTCCTCTGAAACGTACGAAGATCACCCGCCCTCCTGCGCCATGGTTACATGATGATAACATCCGAGATCTTCAAAAACAAAGAGATTCGTTGCGTCACGAAGCCCACACACTCAACACAACTGATGTCTGGCAAGCTTTCCGTGATGTACGCAACCGGTTGAAGACAAAAATCAAAGAAGCGAAGAAGTCGTTTGTCAACAAGGCTTTTTCAAGCTCCAAACCGAAAGAAATCTGGCGTGTTATACATCGCGTCCTAATTCCATCACCACAACCTCTGAGAGTTGACGTTGACGATTTAAACAAATTCTTCGCAACTACAGCCCAGCGCACAACGGGAAATACTGAAACCGACTTCAAAGAAGACCTGCTCAGTTTTGTTGATACACTACAACAAAACGTTAGTGATGATGCAGCATTTCATTTACGTCCAGTTACGTTCAACGAGGTTCTGTGTGAAACCAAAGGCATCAGATCCGATACATCTACAGGGCCAGACCAACTACCTGCAAAATATCTCAAGATTGTTGCGCAGCTCATCGCAGGTCCACTAACTCACATCATCAACTCCTTTGTAGCTGTTTCTGATGCTTGGAAAGTCGCTAGGATCACTCCAATACCTAAGAGTAATAACTCTAATTCGAACAGTAATATGCGTCCCATATCAATACTGCCAGTTCCTTCGAAGGTATTTGAAAGGCTTACACACTATCAATTGGTTGAGCACATTGACTCCCAAAAGCTGTTGAAAGAGAACATATCTGGCTTTAGGAAAGGCCATTCAACTACCACAGTTTTGCTAGATATTAGAGACGACGTACTTCGTGCAATGAAGCGTGAGGAAGTTACACTCATGGTCCTAGCTGACTTTTCGAAAGCCTTTGACACCATTAAATACAAAACTGTGTTAACTCAATCAGTTAGGTTTCTCAAATGAATATCTTAAATGGTCGGTGAATTACCTAACTGGAAGACGGCATTTCGTCCAAATTGACGACAAAACATCCGGCTTGTGTCCAGTCAACTTCGGCGTTCCTCAGGGGTCTATATTAGGGCCATTAATCTTTAATCTATATGTTGCTGACCTTCAATTGTACATCAAAGACAAATGTCATCAATACGCCGACGACACAACCCTTTACACTCATTGCAAACCCGAGAGTATCCAAGATGCGGTAGCTGATATACAGTCAAGTGTTCGCAAGCTGGAAGAATGGTCGAGTGAAGCCAACCTTGTCATCAATCCATCAAAGACCACTGTAATGATGCTGTCCACCGCACAACTGGCTTCCTCCCATTCTCTGAATGATGCCTCCATCAATATCGAAATCAATGGCACACACGTAGAGCGAGTTAAATCTACAAATTAAAGTTACTAGGGTCTTACATTCACGAACACCTTAAATGGGAAGAGAATGTTAAAAACATCGCCTCATCCTGTTATTCCACCCTTGTCTCGCTCAGAAAACTAAAAAACAGTTTACCATTCAAAATCCGTAAGAACTTAGTACAGGCTCTTGTCTTATCTAAACTATACTATAACGACGTAATTTACCATTCACTGCCAGAGTACTTACAGAAACGCCTACAAAGGGTACAGAAAGCAGTAGCTAGTTTCGTGCTAGGCAAATTCGCTAGATCAGCGGACGTATTATCGTTAAACTGGTTGCCTATCAAGGAACAACGTGAATGGAACGTTTTAAAATTAAGTTACAAAGCGCTTTACGATGAAAATTGGCCAAGTTACCAAAAGCTACAATTGGTTCAACATTCTCGAGTTCTGAGATCAAGCAAAGGCTCATCATCATCATCATCAATCAATTTTATTTAAAATCAAAACACGCTAGCCTCGCACAACTAAAAGCTGATTTACAGGAGGGGCGTGATATATAAAACAGTAGAATATATGGAATATTATATGAACCCCCCAACCTCCGCCCCCCCAACAACAAATTGAGAAAAATAAAGTCAAGTAAAGTAAATAAAGAGAGTTAACTATAATTAAGTCAACATGGTTCTAAAAGCTGGACAGCTCCGCAATACTACGCTTAAATTGACTGAGCGAAGTCGCTCTTGTTGCATCTAATGGAAGATTATTCCACAGCATTGATGCGCTATATAAAAGCTTCTCTTCAAAAAAATAGTTTTTGGTTTTGGAAGTGCTAGATCCGTTTCCTGATTTCGTAAATTATGGCGTCTATTAAGTTCACTAAGTCTTACAAGGCTTTCTCTTAAACTTGGCGAACAATTTTCATTAAGGATTTTATACATTAGGATACTCTTCAACTTAGCTCGCCTAACATGTAGATTATCCCATCCTAAACCTTCCAAAAGATCACTTGATCTAATCCTATCATCATATCTTGCTCCAGTGATAACCCTAGCCGCACGATTTTGTAATATTTGCAATTTATCTTTTAATATTTTATCGCATGTATCCCACAGGGGAGAGCAATAATCAAAATACGGTTGAATTAATGATTTGTATAATGTAACAAGAGAGGTCTGCGGAACGAATGGTTTAATTCTCCTCAATGCTCCTATGCCTGAACAGATCTTCTTGCATATTTCTTCAATATTGATGTCAAAAGTCAATCTCTCATCAAGATCAACTCCCAAACATTTATTCGAGACAACAGGTGAAATTACGTTATTGTTCATGATAATGCTGTTGTACAATTCACCAACTTTGTTGGTCAAATTTTGTTTAGATCCTATGACAATAAGCTTAGCCTTAGAAGGATGGGATTGGAGTTTATTTACATTTAACCAATCTGTGACATTTTCTAAATCAGAGTTTATATCATTAGCCAGCGCAATAGAGTCGTACGAAGAGGCGAAAATTTGGGTATCATCTGCGTATAGACAGGGTGTTGTTGTCTTTAGACAGTTGGGTAAATCGTTGATATAAATTAGGAACAACAACGGGCCAAGTATGGAACCTTGTGGAACCCCGCAAATTATTTCACCTTTATTAGAGAGGCAGCCATTTACTTGACACTGTTGTTGCCGATTTGAGAGGTAGGATTTAAACCATGCAAGTTCAACTTGAGAAACGCCATAGAAAGCTAGTTTTTCAAGTAGTATAACATGATCTATTGAATCGAAAGCTTTTCTGATATCAAGGAAAACTACCCCTGTTAACTTGCCATTATCCATATTTTCGTACCAGTTATCACACATTTGAATTAGTATAGGTAATCATACGGGAAGGAGTGCAATTAATGATTAACACTATACGAGTGATATTTGAAAAATGTGCCAAAATTGCACGAGCCGCCGAGGCGAGTGCAATTTGGCACATTTTTCAAATATCACGAGTAGTGTTAATCATTAATTGCACGACTTGCCCGTGTGATTATTTATTTATATATATGCATGACAAAATCGCTTTCTTTATATTTCAACTTCATTTTGTCAAGAGTTTTTAATTCTTTTGTAAGCAATTTGGTATAAACAAACTTGGGAAATGATTATAAACTCATAAAGGCACATAACTTAAACTAGAACACAAGATTCAAACTCAAACCACATATTTTAGACTAAGAAAATCTTTATAAATTGCATTTCAAACTTACATAGTCACGTTTGGTTGCATCCCGCCAAGATTATTTCTTAAAATTGTTTCCAGGTATTTTCAACAGGTTCTTTTTGCCATATAATGTTTTTTAAACTCATTCTTGTGCCAAAATTCAGTTAAATTCGTCCACATTTGTTAGAAATACTTATCTAAATTTCGCCGCCATATTGGATTTTGTTGTTTTGATTTCCCGCTCCCCCCAGCCATCATGAAAATCATTAATTGCACTCCTGGAGAGTGCAATTAATGAAATAATTGCACTCCTCTAAACCAATCAGATTGCAGTAATTTTGTCATGTATATAATAAGAGCTGTAATTGTAGAGTGCCCTGGTCGAAATCCGGATTGGAATTTGGATATAAGGCAATTTTCGTTTAAATGTTTGTAAAGTTGTGTAAAGATTTCTTTTTCGAAAACCTTACTTATTATCGGTAGAATTGATATTGGTCTATAATTTCCCAAAGTTCGTTTGTTGCCTTCCTTATAAATCGGTATAACTTTCGCATATTTCCAATTTTCTACAAACACTCCAGTTGAAAGTGATAGATTAAAAATATAAGTTAAAGAGGGTGCAATTATATCTGCAGCAATGCGTAGCATTTTAGCCGGGATTTTATCAAGACCAGCGCCTTTCGAAACATTTAGATGTCTTAGAGTTTTCAAAACATTGTCCACTGGAATAAACATAAAACGAAAGGATGGAATAAATAACTTGTTGTTTTCCAAATAAGTTTCAGCCTTATTTGTTGACTGATTTGAAACTTCAGAAGCTAGTTTAGGCCCAATATTAATAAAGAATTCATTAAAAGCTTCAGATATATTTTCATCGTTGCGAATAATTTTATCGTCAATTTCAATTTCATTAACATGTTTTGTTTTACTGGCACGACCAATAAGAGAATTAATTAGTTTCCAAGTAGTTTTTGGATCGTTCTTATTACATTCGCCAATTTTTTGGCAGTAATAGCGAGATTTACTTCTCCGAATTTCAATATTGACTCTGTTTCTGGAGGCCTGATAAAGTCTCCAGTGGTACTCAGAGCCATATTTAATTGATTGTTTTTTATGATAATCACGATTACGCATCATTTTTTTAATGTTCGAATTTAGCCATGGAATTGCGGTATGCCGTATACGCTGAAGTCTCAGAGGCGCATGCCTATCCAAAACCTCATTAAAATTATTTTCCCACGCCTTCCAGGCCAAATTAGGATCATTAATGGTTTCTATTGTTTGCCAAGGTATATTAAGCAGATCACAAATGAAATTTTCCTTCACAAAGTGTTTTAAGTTTCGTACTTCTTTTTTGATTTGTCTACGCTTATATGGGATAAATTTGCGGACAACGTAGATTAAACTATGGTCAGACATACCGTTATGAATAACTCCTGATTTTGCTATGTTTCTTGTGTCATTTGTGAATATCAAGTCAATTAAAGTGGATGATCTGTTTGTCATTCGTGTAGGCTCCGAAATCAGTTGTTGCAACTGATATGTAGATGATATAAATTTTAGTCTTTGAGTATGTGATTCAGATGGATTTTTAAAATAGTCACAGTTCATATCTCACAAAACAATCAACTGCTTATTTTCATAATCACATTTTTCAACAAATTTCGTGTAATCTTCAAATACGTTTATACTTGCATTTGGTGGCATGTACCATGTACCAACCAAGAACGATTTGTTATATGGAAGATTAATTTCTAAACAGACCATTTCTAGTTGGGCAGGGGCAAGATCATGTCTAGCTGAGCAAGATATATTCTCTTTAATATATATAGCTACCCCTCCACCATGTCTATTTCGATCTTTTCTTATTATAACGTAACCGGGGATGTGTATTTCTCCGTCAGTGATAGTATTATCAAGTTTGGATTCATTAATAGCTAGCACTTCCAAGGGACTAGACATCAAAATATAGCGAATCTCATCAATATGTTTATATAAACTATTTATATTAATACAAGCAAGCTTAAAACCTTTGATGTTAGCGATGCTATGCAGCGGTACTTTACCACTGTCCCCAGTAGAACCATGTTGGCTAAGGTTGAAGCTCTCAGCTTCAAGTCCCTTTCATTAAGAACACATTACAGGACCAATCAGCACATAATTTTAACCAATTACCAGAAGAAATTAGGAACTGCCGAGACTACAGAGTATTCTACAATGAGACAAAAATTTCTTAGTCTTGAAAGCATGGTCAAGACTTGGATAATCTTAGAAAGAAATATTTAAATGTATATAGTTTCGTACAGTTTTGTTCTAACTTAGTTAATTTCGTAATTTTGTAAGTAATATTTTGTCCTGTCGAACACGTTATATATTCAAAGTTATATTGCAGTAATGTTCGTAAAATAGTTTATAGACTTTATGAATACTTTATAATTTATATAATTTGGTAAGCGAAGAGCCACTCTGTGGATATATTACCAATAAATCATTATTATTATTATTATTTTTTTTTTTTCGAAAATTTTAACGAAGTAAACTTTATAAATCTTTCTATGAGCTCCCTAGGTATTTTTGCGCAAGAATGCTCTACATTCTTAGAAATGTTAGGAAATGTTGGTCTGGACAAAAACTACCAAACGTACTGTGTTAGGAAAATGATGACTATTGCCATTCGAAGTACATACTATATTTTTTGCTGCCGAAATAAGGAATGGGAAAGTCCGGACTTGTTAACTATTTGAAATATCTGATTGTCTTGTATATTTATATATTTTCATGTATTCTGTCTTATCATTTTTATTAGTTCATATAGTTGTGATTCAAATAGCCAATTGTAAGTTACCTTAAATTAGTGAGATAAACAATTGTATATATATAGTATATAACAAAATTATTAAAGTTTCCATTATTATTATTATTATTATTATTATTATTATTATTATTATTATTATTATTATTATTATTATTATTATTATTATTATTATTATTATTAAAATTATAACGATAAGGTGAATTTCTTTTTTTTGAGACACCCTGTACATCGCATAGTGTTTTAATTAGTCACGTGGTGGGGACTTTGAAGCTCATGAAAAATACTAGCCTGCTCGCATTCCGAAATTTCGTTCAAAGGAAAACCGAAAATAGAAAACAAGTATTCACAAAACAAGTATCCGTTCCCTAATCAATATTTAACGAAATGGCAAAATTGACCATGAAACTGAATCAAATATTGTATTGGAGAAACATTAGAATAGTCTAATGTGCTTTTTTTTTCATAGAACAAGTTAAAATAGGAATTAAAAATCTGCCAACATGCATGCATGCATTACTGTAATGTACCATACTTGAAACTCAGCCAAAATCAAATCCCATCATCTGCACCTGTGCTTCATTCTAATTTGTATCAATTTTTCACAGCAATAACTCTCAGGATACAAGGATCCAATGGTATTGGCCGTGTTGAAGTATTACACAATGGGCAATGGGGAACAATCTGTGATGATAGTTGGGATATAAATGATGCCAGGGTTGTATGTCGTCAGCTTGGTTATACAAATGCTGTTAAAGCACTTCAAGGGGGTTTTGTTCCTGATGGTACTGGACAGATATGGTTAGATAATGTCGGTTGCAGTGGGAGTGAACAAAGTTTGACCAATTGTCCCCATCGTGGATGGGGAACTCATAATTGTGGTCATAATGAGGACGCTGGAGTTGAATGTTTAACAGGTATAATTAAATGTGGGACAGTTAAACAATGGGAAATGACCAGCCTGCGCGCACTGTTTGCCTGCTTTGCGCGCTCTGTTTGCCTGCCAATCGGGCCTTTCAAAACCGGAAATCGGGCTGGAGCACGCGTTCGTTCATATTAGGGAGATTAAGATCTACAACGCGAATTTGTGACGCGGACGTGCTTACCTAAGCCTAGTTTTCGAGTGTAAGCCTAGTCAGAGTTGTCACAGTTTATTTCTGCGAGATTTGTGATACTGTTATGACACGTTAACAGCCATGCGAAGTGACAGAAACCAGGCTTTATAGACTATTGTTACGAATGCACATTTTCCCGCCAAAACTACCATCCGAGACGACGTGATATTTGCAAAGACTCGTCGTCATAGAAGTCGTAAAAACTTATGATAAAAAATATCTTCTTGATATATTGCTAGCCTCTGTTATGTTGTACATTTTTTCCAGTATAATTTCATTTTATTTACTGTGATAAAAATATTTTAATGGTATTTGCCATCGTTTTAAAATAAAACTTGTTTAATGCGACGTCCGCGTGGTAAGTTCACGTTGTAGATCTTAAGCTCGCTATTTTGATTTGGCAAACGAAGCACGGCCAATGGGTGAAATGGCAAAATTCGCACGGTGCCCGGTTTGCAAAAACAACTGCAAACTGCTCTTTCATTTCATCTTATCCGTGAGTCGACCTCAACAATTGTCTTTGCAACTGATTAATGATTTGCATTATTAATTTGAACTTTTACAAATGTATTGTCTTTAACCTAATATTTAGATGCAGGTTTATTAGCATAGCATTACCAGTTGCCATGGCTAGCTTTGGCACTGGCCGACATAGTATGTAATACATGCATGAACGTGCATGTCTCCTGCAGGTTTTCATTCTACTGTCCATTGTGCCGATGATTTTCGATGAGGTACAGCTCTCCAATCAGAGGTAATGAGGTACGCGTTTGTCTTCTAAATTTCCCTCATCAAGCATGCAGGGGAAAATTAGAACTAATTTTACCACGGGCAAATTGTGTGTTAAATTTTGCCTCGTTAGACCATTATTTCGCTGCAAAAAACAACAACAATTGTATTTTGGCCATGTCATGATTTTTTGTTATTATGTTAATAATTTTGTACGACTTTTAAGGCATTCAATTGAAGTAATTCTGAGCCGTAAACATATTTTACTTCTTGGCCATTGAATCAAAATACGACTCGTCCCAATTTCCACGAGTGTTGATGTACTATTTAAAAAGCGGGCAGGAGTGTTTTATTAGGTTTAAAGCCACGAGCGCGCAGCGCGAGTGGCTTTAGTCCTAATAAAACACGACCTGCGAGTTTTTTAAATGGCTTCAAAAGCGTATGCATAATAAGTCAAATCTTTATATAAAAATCTTTATATAAAAATCTTTATATAAAAATCTTTATATAGTTTGCATAACAATGGTCTTTTGTTAAAGTGTTCTTTAGCTGGTATAAAGACGTATGCACGTGACTAATTTCTTACTCAAGATTGGATAATTGGTTCATGAATTATTACGGTGGTAAAAATTAGTTCTAATTTCACTTCATGTTTTAGTAATGAGGTAAATTAGTGATTAATCGTACCTCGCGAGACAAAGGATTTCGAGGCAACTATGGTATTATACTATTTAATTTATACCATTATTTGTTGTTAATTGGTTTTTAATGGCCCTGCGAGAACAACGGGAATACCCGCAATCATGATATTATAAGGTAATAGCATAAAAAGAGGCGAATTGGCTATTGAAAACGTCCCGCCCGATGAGGGTCGTTTAGTAAAATTCCCTTTGGCGCCGCTCGATTCGGGTCATTTACTAAATGACCCTCATCGAAATTTTACTAAATGACCCTCATCGAGCGGCGCCCAAGGGAATTTTACTAAACGACCCTCATCGGGCGGGACGCTTTAATAGCTAATTCGCCTCTTTTTATGCTATTACCTTATAAACATGCATAAAGAGGTAAAGAATTAGTATGTCTCTGCAAGATTTTTGTGTACTTCACTGATCCTAAAAATAGACTGGATGGCACGACCTGTTGATCACTGGTTCAGCAAAGGCCAAAGACCAGTTAATTATTCAACATTGCTATAGATTAAATATTAAATAGTAAGGAGCACTATCTGGCGAGAATATTTCCCTATTTATTTCGTTGACGATTTAAGAACGTGAACCACCTCAAGCAATAAAACTGTCATGACGGTTATCAGGTGTGAGATGGTCCCAAAGCAATTGTTGAAACACGGCTTGATTTTGACACAATAGTGACCCAACCATATATGTTTTCCCGTTATGAATGTACAACTAACATGCTAGACTAAATTTTAATCTAAGTAAAGAAAAGGGAATTAAACACGAGCTAAGACGATAATGAAATTAGTAAAATTGCGAAATTTGGTTGCGATATGTTGTAAAGCTTGGAAAATATAGTCTGCATGCAGAGTTTGCAAATGTTGTATACAGTTATTTCAATTGAGGTTGTTCCCACAACCTTAATTGAAATAGCTGTATGCATATTTGTATTACGTTTGGAAATTCTTACCATTTTCGGCTCAAAAATGGTAACAATTTCTGCACGTAATACAAACATCAAAACACGCAAACTTCGCAAGGCTATATAATTAAGTCAACATTTCATAACCAAATTTTGCAATTTTACTAATTTTAATAAGTTGTTTACGGTAATTTACTCTTTTTTTGTCTAGATAAAAAATTGGTCTGGCGTGCAAGTTGTCTATTGAATGTTGACCAAATACCACATTTTGGTATCACACATTGTAGCTCTTTTTCCAAATTTAGGGAGTTGATTTGTATTTATTTTTTACAGCTATATCCCTCAGGATACAAGGACCATCAAGTGCAAATGGTACTGGTCGTGTGGAAGTATTACACAATGGACAATGGGGAACAATCTGTGATGATAGTTGGGATATAAAAGATGCTAATGTTGTATGTCGTCAACTTGGTTATAAAAACGCTGCTAACGCTCTTCAAGGAGGTCAGGTTCCCTCTGGCACTGGACAGATATGGTTAGATGATGTTACCTGTACTGGGAGCGAACATAGTCTGACCAGTTGTTCTCATGGGGGTTGGGGAAATCATAATTGCGACCATAGTGAGGATGCTGGAGTTGAATGTTCTTCAACAGGTAAATTTACAACATTCAGGGTGTCTAAAAATGTGAATTTTGAAACTAATATTGAACATTCTGTTCGAGATTGATTTTCAAAGCGATTGACATTCAGCTTTCTAACGACGTTTAGCTTTTTAAATTTGACCCGTAACTTTGCGAGCAAGATTATTTTTTGTGATTACTGTTGGAGAATCAAAAATTTGAGATAGAATAGCAATTCGATATCCAATAAAGACAAAGCGTGAGAATATCGTAGATGTTTGCAATGTTCTCCTAAAACTAACAACATTCTATGCCCTATTGTTTCTCATTATTGTTAGAACAGAATTTGGCGTTATAAAACACATATCCTGATTTATCATGTTTTAAACGCATCGTTAGTACATTTTCCCCATAAAAAGTTGTGGTTTAGGTATAGTTACATAGTAAATTTGCATATGATTTTAGTCACATCTACACTCTACAGTCAATAGGTTTTATTTAATCTTCACCAGTTTTTTTAACCTGTGAAAAACCTCCCTCTAACCTATGCAAAACCTCCCTCTAGCCTGTGCAAAACTTCCCTCTAACCTGCATGTGCAAAACCTCCCTCCAACCTGTGCAAAACTTCTCTCTTCCGAAACTCGTACTTTAACAGAATTGTATTTTTAGATAGATAGATAGATAGATAGATAGATAGATAGATAATTTATTTAACGATATATCACAGAGGAGCAAGAAAGCTCGTAAAAACGCGAACGTCAGAAGATTAGAATATAAATCTATACAATTAATTTATAAAACCTAAATTCCTAGTTATATGTATACAAATTTATCTTAAAAACATATCAGCATATAATGCATTCCTAAAAGTCTTAATATCGTTTAATTGCCTGATATCAAATCATCTTCGTCTGTTCCCATACTTAAATCTAAACTATATATATTTTACACTAAAAAGGTGAACAGTACTTTTGATGTAGACCGTCCTGGAACATGGAAAACTGTGTGCAGTAAATGTCGTTCTTTACATAGAAACTGTTGTTCATGGATGTAATCATATAGTTAGTAAACAGTTCGCTAAAGTCTTTGTTCTTTTTTTGTTCGCGTTTATGCAGTTTTGTGCACGGTGCACGGTCAATGATTGAACACATTGTATTTCAGTATAATGAACGAATCATCCAATAGCAACGTTTCAGTTCAGTCATTCAACCATGCTATTTAAATATTAATAAAGTTAAATCCGTTCTGCGCATCGGTTCTGCTCATAACAATGTGAGGGCCCTCTATAATGTAAACATTGCCCAAATTTCGAATGTTTCGAATTTTTCGAATTTTTCTGAACATAAAATTTATTTCATATTCATTTAGAAGCATAGCGAACCAAAAACGTGTTAGATATTCAAACAATCCATCGTATTTAAAAAATACAGCAGTTCAAAATGTAAACAAACCGTTTGTTTACATTACGGACTTGACTTCCACTTTAACCTAAAACAAAGAATGTGCACTGTATAAGGTACTGCTCAACATAAAATCCCAGCTCATTATAACGACTTTGAAGTTTACTGAGTTTCCAGATCATGTCTCGAAAGATTATATGATGTAATTATAATTGTTGTATGTCCTAATGTTTATGTGTATAAGATGTATTCTTGTAATACCTATAAGTAATTATGTAATGTAAGTTTTTGGTGGGACTTAATTGGGGACTTTACCATCAGTCATTTGATTGTAAACTTAATAAAAAAAATAATTACTTGCCCAAATAGCATCAATACAGGTCTTATTCGACAGGAAAATTCTTGAACTTTAAAATGCAAAAGTCGCTTTACAAAGGAGTAGACAAAAGCTATTAAGTTTAAAAGATGGAAATACTATATCATCGTAGTATGATGATCAGCCTTTAAGTACAAAGGACACGTACAAATGGTAGGAACTAGGTCTCTATTTAATAACATCGCATTGCTATCCTATAGCTATATAGTCTAGTGGTAAAACAACCGAACCGGCAATCGACAGACATGTCAGACGGGTTCGATTCCCGTTGGGAGTTCAATCTCGTTCCCCGAGCATGCCTGTTCGCAGGTTAAGGTATGCCAACCCTTAACCTGCGAACGTGCATGCTCGGGGAACGAGATTGTTGGGAGTTCAGATATTTTCTGAATATAAAGCTTGACAAATAATATTTACTTCACATATATATCCAAGCTTGCAACATATATACTACAGTATGTTGAATTGAATTTTGAATTGAATTTTATTTGATTTAGCACCACATTACATAAAGATTACAACACAACAAATATACAAAAAAATAGAATTTTATCATCTTGGTGACAAGGAAGCCCAAAACGAAACCACAAGGCTTGTATAAATTTAGGCTCCCTTTAAATGTACACCTATTAAAAACACAGTTAGGCTAATAAATTATGAAGCTAGTGTAGACGTGCTTCAGCTTGCAGACTAAAATTTTACATCATGCATATATAATTATTAATAAATTGAACACAAATTAAATACTGTTTTACTTTTTCTTAACAATAATATTGTTTCCAACTTGTTAACGAATAATATTGTTTCCAACTTGGCTTCGCGGCAGATTAATTGGTAGCTACTTTCATTCTCGAATTATTAGGTTCGGATTTGCACGATCAGCCGAACTGTACTGCATCTTTATGCCCGTTTGGGATGTCATTGAAGGAATTTCTTCAAAACGCATTTCATGAAGAGATTGACTATATACTGTATACTTGGCCTCTGGCTTTTAGCCAGGGTCGTAAAAGAGAGCGCCCAATTTTGGTACAACGATACATCTACAATAAAGAGGGGAGGGGTTTAGAGAAAACGTTCAGGTTTACGTTACCGTTCGAACTTTTTCAACTGACACACATGGCTTTGTGAGTTTGTGCCTCTATGCTTCTTTACTTAACTACGACATTTTCATTTAGCCAGGTACACCATCAAATTGATCAAAATGTCAAATGTATAATAATAATGAGAATTGAAGCTATTTCGTTTCAGATATATTAATATACCTAGGGAAATAATTGAAAATAATTTCTCTTTTTCCCTAGAATTTGGGCGTCCAAAGGCGTCCATATTTTGTTCTGGGGGCGTGCCAGGACGCCTCACGCCTGGCCGCCCGTCTGGCTAAAAGCCAATCTCGTTTCCCGAGGATGCCCGTTCGCAGGTTAAGGGTGGGAATAGATCTGGAGAAATCGAATTGATTCAGTCAGGCCTGTGATTGGCTGACGGCAGATAGTACGTTGGATTTCCAACGTGAGTTCTATGCATGCTTGGCAATTGTTGCAAAATATAAATATGAGTAAAGTATTTGGAATTTCTCGTCGAAAATTTGATATTTTTTACATTGAAATCGATTGAAAACAATTAGAAATTCTGGGAAAAATATGTACGAAAGCTTCGGATTGACAGGAATACAACTACCTGAAAAATACAAGGAGAACTTCGACGTTTCGAGCGAAGGCGCTTCGACTTATACTGTATTAAATAGTTTGTATACAATAATCGTATTTGAACATTTTACACTGTCGTACCCAACACTACATACACCATAAATTCTGACAGGAGAGTTAAATTTAAATTTTAAATCACATATATATTATACTCATTCTTGAGGAGATTATATTTATCATTATAATATAGTATTTGTAAATTCTGAACGCTGATTGGCTAAGAGCCGTGTTGATATAACTCCATGTCAACACGGGAAATTTTCCGCCGCTTGTAAACACGGAAATTTTTCTTATTCTTCGGGCTTTTGACATTGCTATATTATAAAACCAATATAAAACATTTTTTCCGTATTGATATATCGTTATATCAACACTCGTGGAAGTTGGGAAAACTCGAAATTGTGTGAAAACACTCCGCCCTTCGGGCGTCGTGTTTCCACACAATTTCTCGTTTTCCCAATTTCCACTCGTGTTGATATAACTGTATATCAACACGGAAAATGTTTTATATTTGTTAAGTAAAGGTCAAGTACGATGTATACAAACACTAAGGGCCTGTTCATATGATCCCGCTTACCGGGACGTCTCGCTTACCGATGATCTCGCCGCCTATCTATTTTCCTATAAAATTTTGCATTGTGTTCATATGGGAAAGCGAGCTGGCCCGCTTGCCGAGATCTCTTTGAATTTGCCGAGATCATAGGTAGGCGGGATGAAAATTTTTCCATATGAACACGCCAGCCCGCTTACCGGGATGAAGTGAAACAAGTCTTGCCGGTTTAATTTAACACTTTTTACTTGGTTTTATGTTTGTTTTGTCAACAAGTATTAATATAACCACCTGAAGCAATACTTTTTCTTGTAAATAAACGAAGAAAAACACTAAAATCGCCAAGTATTTGTGTTGCTTGACTGAAATGTAGAAGTTTTGCATACGCTAATTATAGAACTACAATGCAATTTCATCTCGGCAAGCGGGACGAAACACTCCATATGAAAGCACGGAAATATTCGTCTCGGTAAGCGAGACGTCCCGGTAAGCGGGATCATATGAACAGGCCCTAACAGTACAAGTCGAAGGGCCTTCGCTCGAAACGTCGAAGTTCTCTTTGTACTTTTCAGGTAGTTGTATCACTATCAACCCGAAGCTTTCCCACAGAATTTTTAGTTGTTTTCAGTGTAAAAAGTATCAAATTTTCGACGAGAAATTCTAAATACTTTGTTCATATTTTGTAACAATTGCCGAGCATGCGTAGAACTCACGTTGGAAATCCAACGTGAATCAATTCGATTTCTCCAGAGCTATGACCACCCTTAACCTGCGAACGGGCATGCTCGGGGACGAGATTGGCTAAAAGCCTGCTTTGCCTTCTGTTTTTTCTACAGCTATATCCAATCATTAAAACTGCAGTATTTCAAAATGGTAGCAAACAGTTAACAAGGAAAGATATAATCCAGACCTGTAGTTTGTCGTTCTCATTTGAAAGAGTTGTTTTTAGATTATCTGCCTTTGTAAATATTGTGGGGCCCCAAATTTCGCTCTTGTTCTCAGTTATAATTTTTTAAGTGTCAAGATACCCCGCTATTGCAGGGAAGCGAGGGGCCACCAGAGATCGTCGAGCAGCTCAGTGGGCTAATTGCGTACTTGTTTTAAATGTGTATTAAATTTTATTTTAACATCTGTTTAAGATATATAATAAATAATGATTTAAATTTTCCTTTTCCCTTCGCACGAAAACGTGTGAAATTGTTTGGAATTGTGTATAGCTGCTTGATTATTCTATAGATGTGAATGAATGTTCCCGAGGTTTGGACAACTGTGGCAGTAATTCTCAATGTATTAACACTGTTGGAAGTTTTTTATGCAGATGTAACAATGGGTACACCGGAAATGGCGTGGTTTGTTCTGGTAAGTGTTGCACATCATTTGTTATTCATTTATAATGCAGGACCAGGGTGACGTGGGTATCCTGGATAAACATAAATATAATAATAATAATTCATTGTCAGAAATTTTAAACGAAAATACCCCGGACGAACATTTTGAATAAATTAGCTCCTAAACTCAATAATTATAGTGTTGGTGTGTATTTTACTATAATTAAAATATGGCAGAAACTAAAAAGGTTCTGAGAAAAGTCGAAATTTTAACGTGGCTATTATAGAACGCTTTAAATATATTCGGTTGAGTATATTTTCTGCCAATCGCATTTATTATAATTTCAACGAAAGCTAAAGTATAATAAAACCACACACGTCACCACAAGATTGAACAAGGAGTTGTATAATTTATTCAAAAAATAAATTTATTCAAAATTTATGGTATATTGATGACTGAATGAATATCGTACTTTAATACTTCGTTCCCTGTAAAAACTGCTTCACACAACATATTTATTTGTGATATCTCTTTAGATATTGATGAATGTTCTCTATCTATCGACAACTGTCAGCAAAACTCAAACTGCACTAACACTGATGGATCTTTCTTGTGTACTTGTGACAATGGATACTTTTGGACTGGGACGGTTTGCCAGGGTAAAATCTGTAATACAGCACTTATTAAAAAGTAGCAAATTTAAATTATACTGCATTTAGGAAACTTATGTTTGGAATTTCGGTCGTATTTAAACATTCGTTTCACCATTGTACATTTGATACTTCAATGGTTTCCACATGCCATTTTGCGATATAGCTATGCTTCAAATGATCTTGATACACTTATCACAAGCGTGTACACATATTTTATTTGTAAAGATTGTCGCAGTGTTATTGCTGCCATACACTCAATTGTTGCCTTACATTTTTGCAGGGATATCCCTCAGGTTACAAGGACCATTAAGATCCAATGGTACCGGTCGTGTGGAAGTTTTCTACAAAGGGCAATGGGGAACAATCTGTGATGATATTTGGGATTTGAATGATGCTAGAGTTGCGTGTCGTCAACTGGGTTATCGAAATGCTGTTAGAGCGCTTCAGGGGGGATTTGTTCCTGATGGTTCTGGACAGATATGGTTAGATCAAGTTGCTTGTAGTGGGAATGAACAAAGTCTGTCAAGATGTTCACATAACCCATGGGGAAATCATGACTGCAGCCATTCTGAAGATGCTGGAGTAGAATGCTCAGGAGGTAACTATCAGAAAATGTTTTATCTTTTCTGAATAAATATTTAATTACTGGCATATAGCTACGATATATCTGTCAGACATTAACCAGTACTGTATAATAATCCTCAATTAATACGTTTATTACCACTGTTTGATTATTCTATGTAGACTTGAATGAATGTTCCCTAGGATTGGACAATTGTGGAAATAATTCTCAATGTATTAACACTGTTGGGAGTTTTTCATGCAGATGTAACCATGGCTATGCGGGAAATGGTGCGATCTGCACTGGTATGTGATGCAAGTAGCGCCTGGTTTTTGTCGACAACTGCCTAAAGTATTTCACTCAAGACTATCATGTTTTTATATATCTATAGATATAAACGAATGTTCCCTATCTATTGACAACTGTCACCAAAACTCAAACTGCATCAACATTGATGGATCATTCCTTTGCACTTGTGATAGCGGATATACTGGAAATGGAACTGTATGCCAAGGTATTATAGATGTTGTTGATTTTGCAATTTGGGAGAATAAATCTCAATGAAAATCTTCGGATAAAAACAGGAACTACAACCTCGCACACAGGGCTTCTGCGCTTATTGCTCTCAGAAGCCCTGGGATAATCAAAACTGAACACCAAAGAACATTGGTGTTCGGAAGCGGTTGTAAGCAGTATAGCTCCACCAAGAAACGCTGACTGGGGATATTCTTTGCATTATTTGTTGCAATATATTTGCAATAAACTGGAACTTGTAAGTTGTAAAGACGTCTTATTTAATTTGTTTCTCGTGTGGCTTTTGGAATTTAAAGAATCACAGTCAACCGTGATGCTTTGCGCGCTGAAATGTTTTGATTGTTGTGTATTCCGCCATTTTATTAGCCACTTTAGTGACGAAAGATTGACATCCAAAGAGTATTCTTATGAATGTGCATTATTCTTAGACGATGTCACATTTTTCATGGTTGGAATATGTTAATAGATTATTGATTGAGATTTCGGCGTGTGTTTTTATCTTAACCAATGATTTAAAAAATTTTTCACATTTTATAAAGTAGATCTGTACATAGCTAATCATGGCTTCTGCATTTCCAGTTCGTGGAAGACCATCAAGTGAGGGTATATCAAAAAGAATATCGTTGACAAATTCAACGATATTTGAACAACCGTCCTTTCGACGGAAAGGAAAGAAAGCCTGGGAATACTGAGGCTTTTGCATAGCGAATAGGAGTTTGGCGAAATGCTGCTCCATCAAAGCATGGACAAACTGCATGCGTGAACGTAGTAGGCGATGGTGCAGGAATCAGGATTTCATGAAAACACCAGCGAGTAAATGTATTGAAGTTTTTCTGTTTATCCGCGTGCCAACGGCGCGTAGCGCCGTTCCGGTCGTAAGCCCGGGGCGAGGGTACTAATTCCGCCCGGTTATTTATACCCGGGGAACGAAAGCATTAGCGAAGTCTAAAGTTCATCAACGATCGCGGGCGTTGGTGATCAACGGTGTTGGAGTGTTGGGTGGGTGGTCATCCTCACTGATCTCAAAAATATGGCGGACTGTGATGAATAGCAAACACTGATTGGTCAAATTTAAAATTTGCATTATAACATCTGCATGACGACAGCGAAATAGCAAACATTTCTTGATTTGATGATTTCTTGCAAATATATTTCATTTTTGCAAGATTCTGTGAATGTCAAAAGCTTTCTAAGAAAATAAAGGCGAAATAATTGCTATATAAAAGAAGGGAGTAAAGTCGCCGACGTTAACGAAAGTAGGTTTGTTGCTGCCGAGCGCAGCGAGGCAGCACACTATTCTTGACGTCTGATGGTTGCCCCAGAGTCCACTCGACCCAGTTTCCCGCGCGAGTTATGTATTGGCGAGAATCTTAACTTGTGTCATTCTGGATGTCGGTTTTCCGAGGGTTGAAGTTGTTTGTAATGTGAGGGGGTGCACGCACCCTTCGAAATTCGAATTCCATGTGACTACGACTCAAGAGTCAAGATATATTCAGTATTAGCCATTCCGAAGCTGATGAGAGGACTGGGGACGAGTGTTAAAAAGTACCCAAATTAACAGGTGGGCAATTTGTCGACGCTAACCAAAAATAGCGGCTCATTTCTTCTTGAGTTGCCATTTTCGCGTCGAAGAGCAAAAATAACCACTGCGAAGTACGCATGAGATTCAACATGACATTCAACATGATATTCGATATTGTGTAAATTAACTAATTTCAATCACTCAAAAGTCAAAATGACAAATACAGCCATTTCTTTTCTGCCAAGTGAATTAGAAGAAAACAAACCATGCAGGTCACATTAGCTAACTAGTTCCTTTTATGTTTTTTCTGCAAAAAACCAACAAAAGGTCTCTCAAGGCACTGCAAAACGATACTTTCCAAACAGCTATCCACACTGTATAAATATTAAATACAACTTGCCACGAATTTTAAACTATAAATTTCTCCGCTGCTATTCTATGGGATTTTTTAAACTTTCATATCTTGTACAAATTTATATCATCCATCCATTGGTTGTTGAACATTAGGTGGCTTAGGCCTATGAAAAAATAGAAATTCAGCCGCAAACTGAACGGTATTAGCTGTAAGCGAATACTAATTAATTAGCGCGCACGCACTGACAAGAATAGCATGTCAAACTATAAATTTCTCCGCTGCTATTTTATAGGATTTTTTTAAACTTTCATATCTTGTACTAATTTATCTCGTCTTTCCACTGGTTGTTGAAGTTTAGGTGGCTTAGGTCTAGAAACAATCGAAATTCAGCCGCAAACTTAACGGTATTAGCCATAAGACATTACTAATGTTCAAATGGTCAAATACAACCTTAAATAATGTCGTTTTACTAACTGGTCAAATACAACCTTAAATAATGTCGTTTTACTAACTGGTCAAATACAACCTTAAATAATGTCGTTTTACAAGGAGATAAAATGTATTTTAATAGAAGCTCTAAATAATGGCTTAATAGTCCAGGTGTAGAACATTTGTCTATAGATAACTTTATATCAAGAGTTGTTTGTTTTTTATGTTGTATGAATTACATGTTGAATAGCTTTTCTTACAAGATTTGTAAACCACTCTTTCAAACCATTGTGACAGAGCTGATTCAAACACAAAATTTTACTAAATCGTCCACTGTAACACAAACTATCAGTGATCCGCCCATTGTGGTGGAGCCCATTGAGGCACCAACTATCAGTGATCCACCCATTGTGGCGAAGCCCATTAAGGCGACAACTATCAGTGATCCACCCCAGTGGCGTAACTACTAGGGGCCCAACCTGGTCGAAACCAGGGGCCCTGGAGAAGCAACTTCTTAGGGGGCCCTTGTCTAATATCAAATAATACAAATATTGTATTTTAATTAATAGCGTGAAAATATGATATATTTGTCTTAGATGCAAAAAGCTCTATATAACACCAATGTTCAATTGTAACGAGTTTATACTATAATTTTTAAATCGAGATTATTTGATAGAATTTTCAAACTGTCAAGTGAAAGCATCGTTTATGTTAGTTTGATAATTATTTTAATGCACCTCACATCCTCGCCTTGTGTTTCCTCGTGTTATTAATTATTTGCCTACGAACTAACGAAAGGTTTGCATTATTTATCTTTTTGACTTCAAAGTTTTATTAAAATTTAGAATTTTACCATATCTTCGTAACACGATTTAGGTACCGCGCGAGTCCGGGCCCCTCGTATTGAAATTAGCGAATTCGCATGCAAATTTGCCTATGTTTCAGTAAGATAACCCGAGAAATCACGTCTAGCTTTTCACAACCGGATGGTCATCAAGAAAAGACTATATACGAGCGATAAAAACAGATTTCCCGACATCAGGACTGAAGCTCCTGAAACAATATAGTAAAGGACGTGAAAGCAAAGAGAAGTCTGAGGCTATAGTGATAAGCACTCTGGAATTTCTTCTTTCACTTATCATCTGGGAAAATATTGTTACTGCACTTAATCTTGCATCTAAAGATATGCAAGCATTTGATATGGATCTTGGCAAATCATCCCTCCAATCGGAAAGAGCACTAAATTCAGATAAAGAAATAAGAATGGTAAAAGATTTTTAAAAAATCCACTATCCTTGCCTTAAGTTTGGATTTCCTGTTTCATTTGTTCAAAAAAGAACAAGAAGTGTTCCTAGATACTTTAACGAAGGGGCCACAGACGAGCTTATCATTGACGCAAAAACAAAATTCTGTGTGGAACTGTTCTTTCCAATAAAGTTGAAGAGGCAAAAAAGTTTGAAGTTGAAGTTGAAGAGGCAAAAAAGTTTGAAATTTACAAAACGATTGATATCTTTGAAGAGAAAACGACCGGATCAACTAAATTTAACAGTTAACTGAAACAATTTGGTTGCACTTTAAATTGTGTATGCTTACACCTTGTCAGTGTATTAATTGTTATGAACTATATGTTGTTGTTGTCGTTGTCGTTGTCGTTGTCGTTGTCGTTGTCGTTGTCGTTGTCGTTGTCGTTGTCGTTGTCGTTGCCGTTGCCGTTGCCGTTGCCGTTGTCGTTGTCGTTTTTTTTTTTTGTTTTTTTTTAACAGCTTTATTTGACATACATATAAAAGGTTACATAATATTATTATTATCCAAACAAAGAATATTACAGGGTATACGTCCAATGGGGCTAGCGCAAACGGGACAACGAGACCCATGCAGGACGCCACCCCTAAACTAAACTAGTGAAAACAAACTTATTTACTATACAGAATATACATATATAACTTAGGACTTAAGTACGGTGACAAGGGCAGTCTCTTATGAGCGACCATGTACATGTCATATCTACATTAAAAGTACTGTTCACCAAGGCGGTGTATGTCTTGTGCAAAAAGCTTTTAAAAATATTTACATTGGCAAACTTTTCAGGAGAGGCTATTTTACATATATAGTTCCAAGGCTTTACTATTCTATTAAAAAACGATGCCTGAAAGGTGGATGTTTTACAGCAGGAGTGTTTTAACATTAGGGCTGGATTTTGTGCGCGAGATCGATTGTGCTCTACGAAGGTTAAAAGTTGATTAATGTTTAAATCGGTATGACCAAAAATACATTTATAAACCAACACAAGATCTCTGATTCCTCGATCATAAGTTAGTGGCAATAGGTTTAGAGATTTCAGCCTGTCTTCATATGACAGCTCACCAACTTTAGTTCTTAGAATCCATCGAGTTGCCCGTCTGTGCACTCGTTCTAAGAGAATCTGCAACTTTGCGTTTGAAGGTGACCAAACCTCAGTTGCGTAGCACAGCTGCGACTTTACCAAGGCTAGATAAAGTGTTCGTCTAACTTTGGTGTCTGTGATGAGAGGACATGTTCTCTTCAGGAGACTGAGCATCCTGTTAGCTTTGCTGACGATTGAGGAGATGTGAGTGTCCCAAGATAGCTTGCTATTGACGATAACTCCTAGGTCGTTTTCCTGTTGAACACGTTGTAAAATGGCATTGTCCAGGTGGTACTCCGTAAGTACAGGCGATTTCTATGGCAAGCGATACGATTCAAAATACATTGACGCACTTATATTACTTTGAAAGTTAGATTTTCCTCTTAATTTTCCGTTTACGCATTTAGATAACGAGGTCCGCTTAATGCTACTATTACTTTATTTCGATAAATTTAAATACCTACGTATCGTTACGCACAAAAATTACATACGAAGAATTACCATGGAAATACGGAGAACATAATTATACATATGTATAATTTCCGTGCGAATTACCTACGCAAAATTTAACCATGAACATAACATTTACAGCCAATTGCAGTTGAGCTTGCAGCTTGCATTTTAAACGCGTTGTTACATCGTTGAAAAGTATGCGTTCATTCCTTAGAAACACGCCGTTGCTAGGGGCGTAACGTGAACTTTTGGCGGGCATTGTTGAACTTCTGAACGGCGTGCAAACAAACGTATAACGAGTTAAATATTGTAAAAACGCTGCTAAAGCCTGCGATAGAACAGTAAGGTATTTTTAGAATGCCTGCAGTCAAATTAGAACTCCCTGGTCGGTTTTGTGACAAAATCTAATTTAATTCGTCAACGCCAAGAATAGAAAAACATGTTTACGCCGTTACAACGCCCGCCAAAAGTTCACGTTACGCCCCTAGCAACGGCGTGTTTCCAAGGAATGAACGCATACTTTTCAACGATGCAACAACGCGTTTAAAATGCAAGCTGCAAGCTCAACTGCAGTTGGCTGTAATTATGTAGGTTAAAGTTACATACGTAACTGTCAACACTCTTAAATAGAATCACATAGGTAAATTTACCTACGTAACTGTCAACACTCTTACATAGAATTACATAGGTAAATTTACCTATGTAACTGTCAACACTCTTAAATAGAATCACATAGGTAAATTTACCTACGTAACTGTCAACACTCTTCCATAGAATTACATAGGTAAATTTACCTATGTAACTGTCAACACTCTTAAATAGAATCACATAAGTAAATTTACCTACGTAACTGTCAACACTTATTTAATTAAGTGCATAGGGTATGTAAATGTCAGCAATCATATTAACACAGGATGAGGTATTTAGCACTAAAGCACTCTTGATTATTTAGTAAATCTTTATTAGAACTTCATTATAACTTGATTAGTAAATCTTTATTATAAGTACAATAATATAGTAGGGCCTATATTTGTTTTAGTTACATATAAAGTGCCTATGCAACGAAATTTTCACCTCATTTTTTATTGTTTTTCTAAAAAGTACTGCTGGAGTGATGAAGAATGACGTTTACAGTTTCGTCATATCTCATCTCATTCTCAAGTTATCGCACTTTCTATATTTTGAGTTGTGACGTCACAAGTATGAGTTGAGATAATGGCAATAACAAGAAAGTATGATATCTTGGTGAGTATTTAATAAAATTTAATGAAACTTGACACACTTAGTGGGTGCAACAAAGTCAACAATTTGGCTTGTTTGTGTGGTTGTAATAATAATAATAATAATAATAACGAATTTATTGTAGCCTTCCATTTTACATGGCTCTTCATCTACAATGTAACTACTTATTTACTACTTATATACTACTTATAATATATGCTACTTCTTATCATTAGTTAAAACATTAAAATATTG